GATGAAGAGCTACTGGAGAGAGTCCAGCGGAGGGCTACGAGGATGATGAGGGGACTGGAACATCTCCCCTACGAGGAGAGGCTGAGGGAGCTGGGCTTGTTCAGCCTGAAGAAGAGAAGGCTGAGTAGGGGACATTATAAATGCTTATAAATATCTGAAGGGTGGGTGTCAGGAGGATGGGGACAGACTCTTTTCAGTGGTGCCAAGCAACAGAACAAGGTGCAATGGGCACAAACTGAAGCATAGGAAGTTCTGTCTGAACACGGGGAAGAACTTCCCTCTGAGGGTGACGGAGCACTGGAACAGGCTGCCCAGGGAGGTTGTGGAGTCTCCTTCTCTGGAGATATTGAGGACCCGCCTAGACGCAGTCCTGTGCAGCCTGCTGTAGGTCACCCTGCTTCGGCAAGGGGTTTGGACTAGATGACCCACAGAGGTCCCTTCCAACCCCTAACATTCTGTGATTCTGTTATTCTGTGATTCTGTTCCTCTGAAAAAACAGGGAAAAGGAGAAAGAAATGAGAATGTGAATGGTTTACAAAGGGCTTTTCCTTTGTACTAATCCTGTACAGTGAACGTGCTTTTTGGACTTGGGTATGACATTCCATATGGGCAGGAAAGGTTCTTAGTTACCAAATTTTTAGTTGTACATTTTATCCTAATCGATTCATAAGAGAAATCATTAAATTCATGTTTTTGCTAGATACCTCCTCAGATGACAACAGTGCCAGAAGGGAAACCACAAAATTATTAAACTGTAATAAGAGCAACGGATAGAAACATTTCATTTATAAATTAATCCAATTTCATGTCTTCTGTTTTAAAACATAAGCATCGTCATCAAGATAAAATGACCCTGTCATCTGACTTACCGAATTTATGTTCCTCAGCCCAGAACAGTGATCTTCAAAATTCTCTAGCAGTAGCTGCATAATCCTGATCCTATTAAAAATTTGTAGGAATCTCATAATTCCTTAGTAGAGTATTTCCAGGTGCCCAGGGGCTGCTGTAGGGCATGCTTTGAAGTGTCTCTACTTTGATCCTTCTGAGAGAACTGGGTGGTAAGCATATTAAATCACAATAGGCTTTAAGTCTCTAACTGCATGAGATGGTTCTGTGCTACGAATTTTCATTCATGGAACATCCCTTAGTCATGGGAAATGGCTGGATTTTACATACACCCCTCAGTTGACTTTGCTGTTGTCTTGGGAGGTGTCTTGGTTGGATTTGTAAGGGACTGACTTCTCAGGAACCTTCACATCAGAAACTAAACAAGGAGTCAAGGCAGTTAACTCAAGCTGTAGGTTTTACAGCAGTGAACAGTGTGTAAGAATTCATCCTGCCCAGCCTCAGATAAGTGACGTAGGCCCTTTCCTGTTTAGTACATCCATCTAACCAAAAGAGAGATGAAATTTCTGAGAACAACGTGGTTTTCAGGTGGGCTTTGCTCTGGAACACCCCTGTGATTTTTGCAGCCCTACTGTGAACAAACCATAAATGCATAAATCTTAAGGACTTCTGAGGAATCAGTGACCCCAGTCAGACTTCTCCACAAGCTCTGCTAAAAAGCATATAGAAGAACCCATAAGACAAAAACCACCTGCTTCTTCTCAGGAGCCCAAACAGAAAGAAAAGTCATAGCAGGCAGCTCACATGGAGTACTATGGTGCTACAGAGAGCTTTATATTATGATTTTTAAAAATTTTTAAGTATGAAGTAGCATTGTTCTTTTGTCAAATATACTTCACGAAAAAGAACGAAAGAAAACCTTCTCAGCATTGAGAGCTGTCCTCCCTAACGATAAGGTGGAAGCAAGAGGATGCACAGGACAAAATAAAGAAATTACATGCTTGTCAACTTTAGATAATTCAGATACTGTTACTGGAAGTTATAAGGGTGAAAAGACAAGTCATTACAAAAAAACTTCGAAGAGACAACAACAAGACAACACCAGTTCTATGTTCATGTACCATTTGTGCATGGTCTTATTCAGAGTCTAGGGGCATTCTGAATTACAGAAGTGTGCCAGAAAGAATTGTAAAGGAGGAATATAGCCTTGTTGTGGAAGGTAAAACAAAGTGTGAAACTGAACTGGGGTGAAAGAAAGACTGTATTGATTTCTGCTGGATGGTAAAAAATGAAGGGACAGCTGATTTTATAGAGTAGGATGGATTCAGAAGGCTCACAATAAATTTCAAAACATCCTGAAAAAGAAGTAGAGAACTGGGAACAGAGAATTAGGGTAAAATTTACATGAGGATGAGAAGGGGTGGCATCAGCATACGAACCAAAAATTCAGAAACTGAGGAAGTTAAGTATACATTCTATAGTTCTGTATACTCAGATTACCTCCTTAGATAAATGGTGGTGACTTTGGGATGAAGGAAGTTCATGTACAGGTTTTCAGAGCACAGAACTAGCAAATTTACTAATCTGCTAAAGTAAGTGAACCAAAAGGAGCACAAACACATATAAATGTGTTTGATTTCAGAAAGTAGAAAAATCACAATTTGGAATATTATTCCACTTTCACATTTATTCCAGGTTATCCGTAAAACTATTCCAGACCTTTGTATTCAAATGCCAGCTCAGAAAACAGTTTAAACAAAAACCCAAGTCCACAATATTTTAAGACAAGTCCAGTAAAGCAAACCCAGGCATTTTGAGTTTGTTTCAGCTGCTGAATGGAAAAAAAAAACCAGTAGCTTCTTGCAGAGCATAAATTTAGTCATGATCCCACTCTCTGAACGTTTTGTAAGCCTTAGCTAATTACTCCGTTCAAAACCCCTGCTGGGAAAACAAGTAATATTCTTCTAGCTTTACAAATGAGGGATTGGAGGAAAAGTGACAATACTTTAAAAGTCTTGCCCAAACACATGGAGATTCAGTGTGGGGGAAGACTAGGTAAAAGTTAGACGGTGGGTAATTCTTACTGCTGAGCTCAGCACATGCTTTTCTGCGTCGCCCAAAACCTTAGCAATGCGTTTGGGAGGAGAGGTGGAGAGGGGATCTGTAGAGGGGAGGAAAGGTCTTTCACCGCAGGTACTAAATGAGTACGTACAGAAAGGAAACAAAACAAAGGGTAACTGATCCACACACATTCATATGAATAAGATGTTATTATTATTACCTGTTTAGCATTGAAAATGTGCTTGACTGTACATTGTATTATCCAAATGTATCGTGAGTACTGATTTTGCAAAAAAATCAGTTATTTCTGATTATGCAATACAATCATTTTGACAATGTCTCAGTAATGTCTTGTGATTTCTGTACAAATACAAAGGAAACTGCAACTTTGCATTACAGTGACGTTTGCTTCACAGCTGCATGAATAAAATTATTTCATTCAAGCAGCAATCCTTACATAACCCCTTACTGTAATTTTTATTTGCAGCGTCCTGTCCAGCAGCTCTCATTTTCATAATGCTTTGGAAGTCACCATGTCAACTTACTATACTTTATTAGTAGTAGTAAATCAGGCATGAGATCTCTGCTGAGTATACCAGGGTCACTCTTTAAGCAGCCAATAGTCAGCTTTGCTCTATCATTACAGTGAAAATGTCGGGGTCGGATTCACTGTGCCATTTGATGGTAAAATGTACTGAAAACAAAAGTGATAGGCAAAGACAGAACAGATTCAAATTAGTTATCAAAACATATAATATCAAAAAAACAGACCTAGAAAAACGTCTGTACACATTGGAGCAGTACTTTCTTTTGCTCTCATGCCCTCAGTTCCTGTGAAGTGGAACTATTCCAGCTCACACACAGGACGTGGAAAGAGTCCTGCAGTCCCTCTACTCGTACTGCCTCGGGTGGCACGAGATACTCCTTTACCTCTGGGTGCGGTGCGGGTTCCCATGGTGGTACAGCACCCTACAAAACTTGCTGGTTGAACTGATGCGTATGACATACTATGCAGATGCCATAGTATCGTAGGCACATCAAGCAGACTGACACTTCACACTGAAATATATTCAGGCACTAATCAGAAACTTCAATGTTGCTGTTCAAGTTAATCTGTGACTGTGATTAATTGGCTTTGTAATTTTGATCAAAATTGATCTGTCTGATTTTCTGGTGCTACATCAGTAAGCCAAACCTCACCCTAAAGTTACACAAATCCATTTTGTTTGGTTTTTCTAAAAGCAGAGAAAGAAAGAAAAGTATATGGAAGTAATTTCTGAGTTGTCAGTGACAGATTTTTTCTTCTGATTTCACACTTTTGCTGAAGACAGAATAGACCTTACCGTAGCTGTCATAAGCCTCTTCACTTGTTCCGTGACCGTAGTCATAATACTCAGGCACACTGTAACAGATTCAGATAGCCATGTCACTATTATCATAGGTAACCAATGCAAAACAAAAACAGAGCACAGAAAATGAAATGTATTTTAACACTTCTACATGATAGCATAGTCCAGCTAGTTTCAGGGGCAGTGAGAGTTTAAAAAATATGAAGGAAAATCTATCAGTGACAATAACAGCTACTATACAGCATATCACATTTCTTGCCTACTGAGCATAAAACAAAATTGGTCCTAAATATGTAAACCTAGGAGATGTGACAAACGCTGACAGAAATTATATTTGCAAAAAATAAGGTCTGAAAAAAGACCATCTCCTTTATTATTTGCTATTGTTAAACTGCCAGAAGAGGTGTTAATCTCATTTATCTGTAACTCTAAACATTTATGTGGTATCAGACTCAGCCTAGTTTGTTTTCCTGAAAGCTGACTGTATCTTATTGCGTGGAACATGTAAACTACTTATCTTCACCAAAAACATTGTTAGGTATTCAGCTTTGGTCCTGAATTAGAAAGTATGTTTCCACTGCTTGTAGAGAGAAACCTGACTCACCACAGCCTTTGTCCTTACGCAGTTGTTGGACATCCATGGAAAGTTTTATGCAGTACTAACAAAATGCATATTGCAAGTCACGAGGTTCAAGGCGTGGAAAACCAGACTCAAGAGTCTCAAAAACACTTTTTCACTGCTTTTTGTTAATTAAAAAAAGCGGTATGGTCCCATTAACATGTTATCAAAAGATTTCAGGTCATAGTTACACCCCAATAATCAGCAATATCCAGGTATTACCTGGAGTAGACACCAAGAAAATTTGCCCTCTAAGACGCAGTGAAATGGAAATGGAATTATTCACACTTCTGCTTGACTGCTTTTAATATTTACCATTTGCACGGTGTATTTGGTATCTGATACCAAATGTAGGATCAGACTACTGCTGTTACCAGTAGACAACCAGGTAGACACAACAAGAATCAGTCCCTGCCCAGAAAAACTTACGAACTCTATGGATTCTACTACGTAGTATGTCTTCTGTCTGCAGTGAACCAACCAAAAAAATGTAACAATTTCCCTGTTGTTAATTTTTTGTTGTTGTCCATTTGGCTTCTTTTTCCTTGGACACTGTGTGAGACAGACTTTTGCAAGCTGGACAGAAGCAGACAACCAGCTCTCTATTGCATTATTTATAATATTGTTACTCAGGCAATTTTCCATATTGGATTATCGTTTTAAAAATATTAGTTTACACTTGAAAGAGAAGCTTAGTTGACAGTGGAGTGTAAGTAAAAATGTTTCACAAATGCAATAGAGACAAACAAGCAATCTGTAACAATTATTTTCTTAAGCTAATTTTGACTTCTTTGTTCACAAACTGCCTGTAATCAGATTTTTAATTTATCAAACTTCACAGCTATTCGTAACTATTCTTGGAATAATTTCTCAGAATAATTCATGTGCTGTATTTCACTTGAGAGCACTGATTGCGTGTATCTGATAACTGACAGTCAAGTTGTTTTTATTTGGGACATATCATCCCCTGACAGGTTGGGCACAGCTCTCATAGTCAGTTTTCAGCTACAAATATATGTGGGGTTTTTTTGAACTGAAAATGCAACTATAATTGTTGTGCACTAATATGGTAATTTAGCGACAAGTCACTCATGTCAGCAAATAGTACACTGATGTCAGTATCTCAGACAGATGAAATTCATTTGCTAAAGCACTTTCAGAAAGTGGACATACAAGTGACATGAATGAAAATGTAGGTAATACTTTTCAATATTTTTCCCAATGCCATCCAAGCTGTATAAGACATATTCACTGCAGAGCATTACCTTCTGGGATAACAGGAGCCATCCAGTTGCTTGAAAATTAATAATCTAAACATACACACTTGTTGTTGAATTGGTGCAAGAAACAAACAGGAAGCATATATCTCTTATTTGTTGAACATACGAGGCATTCTGTACTATTTTGCAATGATTATAGTAGCCAGTTAAATAAAATTACAGGATTGCATAAACCAAACTAGAGCACTGGCAGCCTCAGGGTTAAATCATGTATTTGGTCACATCAACAGAGCTCATGGTTTAGACCTAAGAAATTACTTGGAATGTTCAGAACAGATAGATGATATACCACTGAGATCTGGCAGACAGCAGTATGAAAAACTCGGGTGTAATAAAATTTAAGCAGCAGGATTTTGGCATACTGCCTGCTTTTCTGGGTAGAGGAGGGTGTTGGACTAGTGAGTGGAATTACAGGAGAAGAAACCCCACAACTCTCATCTTCTGTCAGCGGATAAGGTGCCAATATTTCTTCCTGATACATGTTACAAAACAAAGCGGCTGTATCCAAAGGTCAGCTTTAAAAGGAGTGCATTTGGGACCCAATCCAAAGGCCAGTAAGTTATCAACAGCAGTCCTGATCTCAGTGGTCACTGAGTAGGCCCTTGAGCTATTACCATCAATATAACATTCAGCAAAATGCAAGACTTGCAAGAACAGGTAAAAAATCATTGCTACGCTATTGTTGTTGCAGGTTTTTATTAGAGAAAAAAACCACCATCACACAGACAATAAGGATACGAGATTAAAATCCTGCAGAGTGAACATTCGGAACTGAAATACATTAGAAACAGAATACAAAGTTAATACACAAACCGTTAAAATAAGAAACAAGCTGTGCTGCAATTGTAGAAAGGAAGTGATTTGTTATATACTGCATATTTGTTGTCCGTGAGCACAATACTTCATACATTTCTGAAAACACATAATTCATAGCACAATACATGATTGAGATCTAAGTTCTCCAACTTTATTTCCCTGAATAATACACATTCTTCATAGTTTTGAGCCAAAAATAGTATTTCAGATTACTTGCCAACTCATATTAGAAAGTGTTTTGAACAACACCTAAGTGAAGAAAATTTATTTCTTGGTACGAAATACCTGATTTAAAATCATATTTTATAAGCCAGACTGCTTATCCATTAGTCTGCTCTATTTTAAACCTTTCTGAATAATCACTGTAATCCATTACAGGCATTTCGTTGTAAACATCTTCCTTGGATTTTTACCAAAGTGAACAATGAATGATGTTTATAATAAATGGGTGACAGAATACAGCTTTACATACGTACGATCTTTTTCTTAATTACTGAAGCACAGACAGATGTAGTTCATTCGCATTATGTCCAACTGTGGAAAGAAACAATCAGCAAATGCATTCAGCATAAATAAAACTTGTTTATATAATTCTAAAGTTCTCAGACTGTTCCTGGAAAATACAGTGATCATGAGCTCTAGAAACCTCAGGCTCTTGTGGTGGTGCTAATTGGAAACAAGACACCATTATCTGTCATTAGCATTCATTACTTTCAAGCAACACGAAGTGTAATTTACTTAAGTACATGCACCCACCTGAAAGCAGGATGCAAATATTTTATAAAGTAGATAAGATTAACTCATTAACAGCTTCTCAGCTTTTACTCCTAAGTTTTCAAAGCATTGCACTACTTTAACACCACACTTCTGAAACACAGAGGTCTCGATGTGCCATCACTTTGACTTCAGTAGGCTTCTACATGTACCACTTGTGGAGGTATTGATGTACATGGGACTATGAATCTTACAAGTAGTTTAATTATTTTTATATCTCAAATGGCTTGCAATCTGAGAACCTCTGATGTAACTTTTCTCTATCTAGATGAAACTAACAACAAAGACGTATGATTCTGTCTTCATTTGTATTCTGTGGGCAAGAACATTAATAATACATACACTGTTGATCTTCATAATCATAACCTATTTATGCTTATCTTTAACATAATTGTTGTTTTTTGTAAGTGCTTTTGAACCTGTTACTTTTAAAGATTTGGGATCAAAGTTTCCATAAACTTGCATCTTCGTTTCATGCAGATAAAGCCAGATCAGTTCCAAAAAGAAGAACACAAGAGACATTCCTTATTTGAGAGACAAGCGTCCCCTGAGGTGCCTTCCAACCTGAATTACCTGGTGCTCCGATGACATAAGAAGGGGTCACATACAGAGGCTCTGTATCTAAACAGCAACCTTAAAAGCCAGCAGAGGCTTTTAACCTCTTGTTAACTGGGACTTTTTCAAACTGGCATTAGTTAAACAAAACTGAATTCCGGTTTGACTATGTCAACACCCGTGGGAAACCACATAATTTGTTATCCAAAAGGCTGTGGAGAATGGTGCTTTAAGGTGGTTTAAGCAAAGAACTGCAAAGAAGAGCGTTAAGATTGAAGCCACAAAACACTGACTTTTAGGTCAACAAGCCACCCGGGGGAAGGGTGATGTTCACCACTCAGAGATCAATGGCGTCGGGTATAGGAGATCATGACATTAATGAACAGACTGCATTAGCCTTTGACCAATCTCTTCCTGCACCTGCGGGAAGCTGCTGGCAAGAGACCCCAGGTTAGCAACATCACCAGCTGGTCCCCTGACTGCTTTTACAGCTTCTGTAACGTAAGGCAGCAGAACACTGCAAGAACTGAAGAACTTGAGTACTTCTTGTTCCCTCATAGTTTTCTTTTTTTGTTCTTCCTTTCTCTCTTCTTCTTCTTCGCTTTTACTTGCTGAGAGATATATATAACTTTTTATTCAAAATGTGATTGCAGACATACAACGAGGCCACTAAAGCCAAAGCTGAAAGGTAGAAGAAAGGATTCATCCTCCTTAAACACTGCTAACATGGATCTGCACAGGCAAAGTGTGTTCTGTAGTCTATCCTGAAAGATCCTAAGAAACTCAAAGCCTTTGATTAAGGCCTGTTGAGCTAGATGTAACAGATATTTTTTTTTCTGTAAAGATATTATGATATCTTGTTTTTCTTTCTTAATGGTTGTACTTTTAGAAAAGGAGAGTGTATTCTAGAATATTATAAGAATCTTTTATTCGGAAATGTTTGGGAAAGAGCAAGTCAGTTTAGAAAAGAGGCTTTTGATCAACCTTGGAGTTACTGAGCCATTAGACA